TGTGAAATTGAAGAATGTTTCTTTTGTACATGTTCCTGTTCGTGCCCATCATGGCTAGCATGATTGAGTTTTGCTCAGAACTGCTGAAAAGCTTCTACATAAAGCTACAGACACATCTAACGGCTCAGAAAGCCAAATATTTCGTTTTTTGTTTTGCCAACTGAGCCATATCTTTTTGTTTGACTTGATTAAGTGACACTCAGCTTTTAGCTGTAAATAAAATGATACAAAGGAAGGCTGCTTGGTTTAGTTTGTACCCGCTGTGTTCATCTTTCGCTCACAAAGTACACAGTCAATCTTCTTTACAGTAAGCGCTGTGAGATGTTTCGACGACATGATAAGGAGAACAGCAAATACGTAAAAGCAGCTAATCCTGGCTAGAACAGACGGTAATATGTTCTTGGTACCTCTTATGCACATCCTTTTATAATAATATTAATAATCCTTGCATTTGATGCAGTGCCTTATCACATTGTTGAGACTCCTATCTCGTGAAGAAATTTTTTCTAAAGGAAATTGGATATTCTTAGGGAGCAGCTAATGACTTTGGGAAAATTAATTCATGTATTTCTACGCTTCATTAAGTAAATCTTGCCATGGACTTTTCAGACTTTGAATGTTCATTTGCCACGTGCCAGCACGAGCGTTGGTGGGCAATAAAATATTGTGCTGAATGCGTGAGAAGTAGCTTAATAAATGGGGAAATGATGCCAGAAGCCAAAGGCCATTCCTGTACATTGTGTAATAATTTACAAAATAAGACATGGGTATTACAGAAGAATAATGTACACTTTGCGTTTTACATAATATAAACGCCCGACTCCACTGGCTCCCCATCCCTCAGAGGATCGAATTCAAGATCCTCGTCCTCACTTTCAAGGCCATCGATGGCCTTGCCCCCTCCTACCTCTCTGACCTGCTGACTCCCTGCCAACCTCCCCGTTCCCTCCATTCAGTGGGCTCCGACCTGCTCCATGTCTCCTGCCTGACCCGCCCTACCATCGGTGGTCGGGCTTTCAGCCTCTCTGCCCTCACACTCTGGAACTCCATCCTACAATCCCTTTGCCTCGCTTTCTCCCTTGTCTCCTTCAAGGTCGGTCTCAAGACCCTCCTCTTCGATCGTGCCTTTAGTCGCCTCCCACCTCTCTGCCTTCCCTCACCCCTACTCCCTGCTCGGGTCCTGACTCCTGACTGTCCAGCGCCTTGGGACGTCCTCCCGACTTGAGAGACGCTCTATAAATGTAATTTTGTTGTTGTTGTCTAGTGTTTTACAAAATACAGTAATCAACCTTGCATGTGATATAGTGCCTTTCATATCAGGGTGATGACTCAAAGCACTTCACAGGATTTATTATAAACTGTAGTGACTGTACTTTTTGGCAAATTGATTAAAATGGAAGTAAAGGTTATGTTGGGCAAAACAGTGCAGCTAATCTGTACCAGCATGTATTTGATGACCTTGCTGGGCTGAAAGCAGAACAGCTTACACATGAAAAACTTGTAATTGGTTACTCTTTTAATCATGACAATTTTGGTGGTGTCCTGTAGCTTAGTGGTTAGAGCACTCGCCTTGCAAGCGAGAGGACTTGGGTTCGATTCCCGGACAGGGCAATTTCTTCACTCCACATGCCTTTCTTTACCTAGTAGTAAATATGAACCTGATGGTTAGTCGATTAGCGGATCGCTTTTCCGGGGTAATAATCGCTTTAAAAAGATGGTTAGTAGTAATTTGGTCACTCAATCCACGAATTGGCTACCGCGTTTCGGCCACAAAATATACAGTCAATTAATTTTATAGTATATTCTGTGAAGCGCCTTCAGACGTCTCGAAGACATGATGATGATAATAATAATAATCCTTGCATATAATATAGTGCCTGATCTTATTTTCTAGATGTCTCAAAGCACTTCACAGAAAGTACTGTAAAGTGTAGTGACTGTACGTTTTGTGGGTGAAACACGGCAGCCAATTGCGCACAGCAGTGTCCCACAAACATGGATTAAGTGACTATATTATTATTTTGAAGGTATTATTACCCCCATAAATGCAATCTGCCAATCGACTAACAACCGGGTTCCTTCTTATTACTAGGTAAACAGAGATAATAAGGTAATAAAAAAGGTAATAACATTTGCTAAGGCACCATATCAAATGCAAGGATTATTATTAAAATTTACCAATGTCCATTAATTTAATTATCATGGGATTAATCATTAAACATTTGGTTTTTGTTTTGAATCTGGGAAATCCATTATAAAACTTTCTCGAGTTTGTCTTCATTGCTTTCACCAACCAATTTGGAGATGATGGGAGCGACCGCCAACAAATCTAGCCTGTCGGAAGTTGTGAAAATTGCCATGTTCTCCTCATAGACATGACTTGTTCAATTGAAGTTGGGTAACCAAAAATGAAAATGCAAGACGTATTGACGGGGATGGACAAACTCTGGGAGCTCACAAAAACCAACCCTGCACACTTAGGGTTAAGTTTGGATGGTGGTGTTGGGGCCTGTTTGCGATGTGGGAGGGCAGGAAAAGCATTGTAATGTACCAGAGATGCAGAAAGCCATTGTTCTGTGTGTGCAGGAGTGCCGTAGTCAAGGTAGCTCAGGGAGGAAGTGCTTTGTGTAACACATTTGGCTGGATTGACTTGCAGGGATTGTTTGTACATCTGTCAGGCTGTTTAAATGAACTCTGCGGTTGCCTTACATTGAATAAAACTAGTACCACAAACAGATTTGTAATCTAATGAACGGGACCATTGAAGGAAAGCCCTACAAATGTAAGGTAGGGCCTAATTACATTTTCACGTGAAATCAAGGAGAAACAGGAATTGAGGGGACCGCCAAAGGCAACATCTTTATTAATTCACATATCGCATAAAGTAATTTAAGAGACCACTTATGATGGTAGATAATGCAGGTGGCCGACTTGTATATTTGCCATGTGTTTGAAATTGGGAAACAGTAAAATATGAGAAGGTGCCCTGAAGACGAACTGTTTTGATGTATTCCAAGCAATTTACTTGGAACTGGAAAGAGAAAGCTATGAACTCAACAGCTGATGAGGTTCCTCGTCCAGAAATAATCCCATGATGGCCTCGTGCCTGGTTTTATATCATGGGAACAATAGTGGAGGAAGTCCCCACCCTAGGGTTAGGAATACACAGTTAGTATTGCATTGACCGATTTGCCCCTAGAGGGAAATGCGCACCTGAGTTTGACAGGAACAGTTATCTGAAGACATGATATGTGATGCATATCAAAATTAAATAAAACAAATCCCTTTCCTGCCTTACAAATCACAGTTTCCTGCCCCAAATCAGCGCTTGATTGTGCACACTGGGTGATTTGTTTTTCAGACTCTCAGCTAAGTTACATGTTCAATTGAGAACCACTCAATCGATTAAGAGTGCAGAAAAGTACAACAAGGCAGTCCCACTGCTGAAAGCCTGTTGATTTCTGCCCATTTCTTGATGACGCGTATGGAGCCACAGCCTTTGGAATAAATACAATTCGATCAATTTGCGTTTTTGAAAAAAATAGGATAATTTCAGTTTGGTGGCAGGGGAGTGATTGAAAACTGTTTCTGTGGCAGCGATTAGCTTCTGTGCGTGAATTTTTTTTAAAAAGCATTTAATACAAGGTCTGTGGTCAGGGTTGCCAAACGAAATAAGCCGTTTCCCAAGTGTGCTTATCATTCTTTGTCCTTGACAGTGATGGGAAGCTGAGTTTTGAGGGGAGCGCTTAAGCACATTTTTTTTTCTGATGCAAACATGAGATGACCAGCCCTTGCACTGGCCAGGATATTGTGCAGTTTCCTGTGCGTTGAAGCACACAAGAGTGATGGGGCCTCACAAGTTGTCAGCTCCTTGTCATTAAACCTCCAGTGCAGCCAACAACTGAGTTGAAAACAGAGGGTTAGGATTGGCGGTGGGTTTAGCATGCACCAGAATTTATTTTATTTTAAATCCATCCTTTCCAGCAGTTTTGAAGGAAAGAAGAAGTTTACAATTGTCTTGTGTATTTACAGTATGGTTGACAGTTCCGTTATAAAACTTGGTGATTCTTACATCATATTTCAGTGAACTTATAAAATTAGTTTGCACAACACCCAGATGTTTCAGTGTGTGCTGTGGGGGTTGGGATGGGAAGAAAGCATAATTTCCACACATTGTGCGTTAGTTGCAGGAAGTTTGAAACGTGTCTTAATCCTGTGCTTTCTTAGTTGCTGTTTCATTTAGTCATGCCACTTCTTTCAAATTGTTTTGCAATATCAGTAATTGAAAAAAGCACTGAGACTTGAGAGAAGCTGTGCCCAAATTGGCTTCTTCCTACAAGTACACAATTCCTGTACTTTACAATAAATCTTTGTGAAACGCTTTGAGATGTTTTGCCAAAACATCAAATGGAAGAATTATTATTTAGAGTGTATTGAAATCCTGTGCACATCTTGTTGTTGTTCTTGTGTAGCTGTCTTAGATACACAATACCGAAAGGTTGTGGGTTCAAGTTCAACAACAGGGACTTTAAGCCATGGTCTAGGCTGACACTCCAGTACAGTATTGGGAGACCACAGCATTGTCGGAGGTACCATTCTTCAGATGAGATGTTAAACCAAGGACTTGTCTGCCTGTTCAGCTGGGCTGTCCTCTTCGAAAGGAGAAAGAAGGTTCTCGTAGGGTCCTGGCCAACAGATCCTCCAGTTGAATTGGTCATTTATCTCCTAGCTCTTTGTGGGGTATTGCTGTGTGCAAATTGACTGCTGCATTCACTCACATATGTACAGTCACTAGATTTAACAGTAATTATATTGAAGTGCTTTGGGACGGTTTGAAGGGATAAGGTGCAATTTCAAACGCAGGGACTATTTTATCATATGGTTCCTTTAACAACACTAGTGGAAATGCATTTATCCCTGTCACTCCTATTGAATGTCTTAGATATCAAATAACTGGGAAAGAATTAATTTCACCTGTTTTCCTTTTCCTTTTTGTGCAGAGATCATTGACGACCTGACCCATTTGGTGGATAAAACGGATTCCAGGATCCGCAACGAATCGAGACGTGTCAAAGTGCTTGATAAGAAGTCGACGTCTTGCGGTAGGTTTCTCTTTAAAACCATTCCCTTGATCCACCAGGTGGCATTACAATGTCATTGCTTTTGTCAATTTTTCCTTGAACATGGCCTACTTAACCCGTTTCCCACTTGTGCTCCGCAAGAGGTATTTAAAGGAGGTAGATATGCTCGTCAATGTACTGTTGTCCGCAGCCTTTTGTACGACAAAACAAAAGTGAAGGCTTTATGATGGCATTTGCATATGCAGCTGTTCAAACATGAAGTGAGGATTCATTGATAGTAAATCTCACCTACTTGCCCTCTCAAAGGACTCCCAGCAGCTGTTGTCAGCGAGTAAGCAAATGACCTGGGCTCTGGAAGCAAAGCTGCTCAACACAGCCTGGCTTTGGTCAGAGTCGTCCATCATTTATGGGTTCACGTAATTCAGTAGCTCCCGTTTGCCCATCTTGCTCTTGCATTGTAACATCTAGCATCTGTTTTTTTCTTTTGGAAAAAGGTACTTCCTAGTTATAGACAATAAAGGGAATTTCCCCCCCCACCACCACCAAGAAAACGAATCTGGCTTTTTCATAGCCTTTACGTTCAATGCTGTGTTTCAGTTCTAATTCTTTGGCTCGCCTTATCTTCTGAACTGAGCTCACATGTCTTCTTGTTTCAAATTAAGACCGGCCATCATTCAACATTGATGATGGCAATACTGCTGCCACAGAGCCAGCATTCCCACATTCTCTCTTTCACCTTAACTCATCAGCAACTTTCAGTTGTTCTTTTACATTTCAAGGCATTCGTTCTCATTTGATAATTTACAATTTTGACAAGGAACATGTCTTCTATTGTTGAAATGCAGATCTCCATTACTATTGTGTTGCAATTTGCATCATCAAGCGAAGCAATCCCAACGTGCTTCGACTGAAAAGCAAAGTGCATTGTTCTTTGTGTATCACAACAACGCAGATGAGATTGATGGCCTTTTACAGTTTTCGGCAGAAAAACATTAACCTAAAGCATTGTTTTGACAACATTAGTGGAAACCAGATGAAAAAATGGAGCTGCATAAGATGAAGTGAAAAATAGTACTTCAAGACCGGTTTTATTTGCCAAACAAACCTGCTGTTGGGTCGCCTTGGGGAAATGCTTACATTTTTTCAACCGAGGAGCTTAGTTACCAGCAGGCAGGGCACAGCAGTCAGGTTTGAAGAAATAACAAAATGAAGGTCAGCTAATATTGCACTAATTCTGCTTCCTGGTGGCCATGACAGCCTGTAAGGTTTATTTGAAGATCCCAGACTTTGAGTCAGTGTGCGCTTTGTTACCGTATAAGTGTTTTAGGCTGTGCCAACAGTTTAGGATATTAATGAATCCTACAGAGAAGTGAATGGAAAATTCCTTCTCTCCCCTTTTTTCTTTTTTTTCCCCTTCCCCTCTTTGTTTGACACACACATCTTTGTCTGTTGAATGTTGCCGAGCATTACTAATGAGTAGGCAGAAGAACAGAAGAATAACAAAAAGAGAAAAAAAGGAAAGAGTTATGGGGGGGGTGGGGGTTAGCGAGTACACAACCCTACAACGGCACAAGGTGAGATTAGTGCAGGCCGGTGAGATATATAGGATCGTGTTTCAACGCCCCCTTCCCCAAAGCAGCTGTCAAGATGTGCACATTGGAGATTTTCCTTTTTTTTCTTAAAAAAAAGGGCAACTTTTGTGACACCGAGGGCACAGAGTTTCTGCTAGTGTTGTTGAAATGCCAGTTTGCTGACCACCATGCCTCAGTGCTCCTTTAGTGTCCCCCTGCCTCATTATTACAAGCACCTTAGCCCCCGCATAGCTGCTAAAGGGGCAAAATTAAAGCAATTCACACTCTCAGTGACTTAATGCCAGGAAATAATTGGTCCTTGTTTTCTGAGACACATTATTAAGGAGGAGCTGAAATACAAGAGGGAAGCCATGGGGGGATTGTGGTTATTGAGATTTTCACAGGATTTCTACAAAGGTATTTAAGTCGCAATAAAGGGCAGATTGTTGAGAGATAATTATCTGATAATTAAATTGAGCAAAGAAAAGCGTGTTTTATTATTATTCTCATCTGAAGCCTGGAAAGGTATTAATACTCCGATATGTTTTAATGTACTCTTTGGTCCTGTATAGACATGTTAATGAGATGAATCTTGCTAAATAGCTCTCCAGACACTGCTGCTTTGGAGTGGCAAAGGAATGAAATTCAGCCCCACTGGATTGCTTCAGTGACACACAAGAAGACTCTTTGTTTCTTGTTTATAAACCAGAAACCTGTCTAAAATTGCTGAAATAGTGAGCAAGCTGAAGAGGCCCGACTGAGCGAAGGGCACAATAAATAAAGATTTGCGAGCTGGATTTTAATGCTTTGATTTGATGATGACTACTCTTTAGGGGTTAAGGGATCTAAGGGGAAGGCTGCTTATACAGTCTTTCAGCGGACTTAATTAAGAAACTTCAGTCTTGTTCTACAAGACCCTTTACGTGCGAAGCTTCTTCCTACCATGAAAGGCGTTCAGTCTTTAAAGTGTATACATACATGATGCCATTGTGTTTTGTTGCCAAACTGAAGATAGTAGCAAGTGCAAACCAGGATTTGTCAAGGGTTACCCTTGAGGGTCTTGCCCGCTGTGGAATCAAATGCGTGTTTTTCTCCCATTTAAGAGACATTCCTAGGCTGTTAAAAGTTAACTGAAATCTCATTTGGCCACCTTAACTGAAGGGGCATTGCAGCCCTGCCTGCCATGGATGTTCTTCAGTTGCAGATCAGCCAAGGGTTGGAAACAAATGAACACCACAGAGCCCGTTATTTTGTGGTCGAATTTCCCAGGGTTTAATCATCTCAAAGGCTGCTGAGTGCAATTGCTCCTGCAATAATCTACTTATCAAGTAATTTACCACCCCTTCTGCCTCTTAGGGAGAGTGAGTCTCACAGGTTGTTTGCATCTTAAGTAGTTCCAAATTGTCTCTACTTTGAAGGAGAAAGCTGTTAAGTCAATTGTACAAACCAAGTATAATGCTCCCCATACCCATTGACCAGTTAAATGTGGAAGCAGGCTCTGAAAAAGCCCTTTATTGGTTGCTTTTGTAGACCGCATCGCATTCTTTAAATGTTATAACAATAATTGCACTAAATGACAGGGAAATATTTTTTTGGTGAAACAAAGAGGCAAGAATCATTCAGCCACCAGTCAACTGCCACCAGAAATCTTGCCTTTTGATCCAAAGCCAATTATTGTCCCACTCAGTCTGAATGGGCTGGTTACTGGCCAAGGAAGGGTTGTCTGATAAAGAACTGACCACAATATTTATATCATTGACTGAACGTCAGTTAAGTGGGGCAAACCCGTAGCAAAGAAGAATTCCAGGCTGTTCATGTTGAGTGTCAGCATGTGTTTGCCCACAAAATACATTATCACAACACTTTGCAGTACATCCTGCGAAGCGCTTTGAGAGCTCTCGACGACCTAAAGCGTTGTATCACGTGCAAGGATTATTATGTATAATCTATCATATTACATTCTCTCCTCTGCAGAGAAGAGAGAATGTAATTTGTATTCTCCATCTCTTTTTTGCTTTGTCAAACATTCTGAAATCACAATGTCAAATATTTGTCCAGGAATGGAATAACTATTCACGAGCTGGTTCCTTTCAGGTGGAGAGGAGGAGAGAGGGATTTTTGTGCTCCCTAGGTCATGGCTAGCATCGGTTTGAACTCACTGGAAAGAGAGAGATTAATTTTGCATTTGTACTTTGTGATATTTTCTACAGTTCTTTTCAAACTTTTTTTTCTTGATGTCTCTCTTTTAAATCTTAAAGACTCTGAACTTTATTGGATCAGAAGCCTGAATTCATCGATTTCTGCCATTAACCACCGTTTTTTACATTGTGCTGTTTTTAATATATGGATTTTTTCTTCCCTCCTCTCCTGATCGGGACTGGTTTATTTGCAGAGCATTGGCAGCCCTCTCCACAGTGAGTTTGAGGAGGTCTTTCAGTTCAGTCCTATCCTAATCTTTATCCACTTTCTCTTGCTAGTCATTTCTGTCCCTAACTCGGAAACCCTGTGCCCAATTCAATGGCTTACTTCCATCCTGGTGGAGAAGTTAACTCAGCAAAGATCAAGGACTTGCCGAATCTGTTTAACTCAATATGCAGTACATTTGAGCCACCGAGCCATCGAAAGTGAGCCCAGCATAAAGGGCATTCTTAGTACCAGGTATTCGCCATGGTTTCAAAGCTGTCGGTGTCGACAGTTGAATATTTCTGTACCATTTTGTCATTTCATAGAACTGAGAAAGGTATGAAAGTGCTTCAGAATTTAATGATTACAGTTATTGACGTTCAGACAGTGAGTGCCTGCAGAAATGTCAGTTTATTTTTTGTGATTCACAGTTCGGAATATGGAGGAGAATATGGAGTGGCTGAGACTAACTTTGTGGAGTTCTGTAACTCAGTGGTTAGAGCACTCACCTTGCAAGCGAGGGTTCAATTCCAGGCAGAAACCTTGGGCAAGTTTCCTTACTCCACACAGAGCCTAATAATAATCCCTCCAAAACAAAACAATAATAAATTGGTCATTTTCAATCCATAACTTTGTGGGACACTGCTGTGCGCAATTGGCTGCCGCATTTCACCCACAAATATACGGTCAATTCACTTTACAGTATATTCTGTGAAGCGCTTTGAGATGTCTAGAAGACATGAAAAGCTCTATATCAAATGCAAGGATTATAATTATTATATTCAGAGATCATAGACCACAATAACTTGAAGAGGGTCAGCTTGCAACAATATGGAGCCAGCAGTAACTGCAATTGTGAAGAATCTTTTTCAGTGCCTTGTGTAACCTAATGGGTATTTTGCACCATGTGCAGAGGGAATTACTGGTGCCCACAGTTATGTAATTACTATTCACTGGAAAGGGTTCATTATGTAATTAAAACCCACTCTTTTTCATTGGTTAATTATATAATTAAGGACATCTGTAATTCACTAGATACACGTGGTT